TCATGTGAAAAGCAAGGGTGAGCTCTACGAAACCTGGATAGTCCCCACCTATTAACCGCTTATAAACATGCCTGAAAAGCAATAAACTTGCAGATTTGGAGCTGACATGCTTAATAAATAGAATCCCTAATTAAAGATCACTAAGGTTTATATATTATTACACGTTATATTGAATAACGCAGGAGGACCTATAGTTGACTCATTTTTCCATCAACTGTTCCTGCCTTGAATTTGAAGTGTGTATAATTTCACTCGATATTAAGACCTTTTAATCTTCTAGAATTTACCTGCATCGAGTGAAGTGCCAAAAGTCATAATTTTAGGCGTAGGCTTATAATTGGGGCTTTTTAACCTCTTAACGATAAGGCTTAATTTTAGATTCATACTTCACTTTCGCGCATCTGCTCTTTCAGCAAAGCTGAAGACTGACTCAGAAATTAGTTCTTTTAATAAGTCTTAAATCTTAAATCGTCAGGCTGGCTAAGCTACCGGATATCGCTGCCATTCATCTTTAGCAAAACAGGACAACGGCGAGTACGTTTCATGGTGAAACTTCCACAATAATAGGCTACTGAAATTCAAAATATTATAGAACACAGTGGGGTAGCCATGCAGACTGACGATTTTGTCTCGCCATATAAATTTACAGTTATTATAATTATTTATGTCTTTAGAAAGTTATAATTGTTCTCACAGTCAATGAACATCAAAATATTAGCATAGCGGGAAAAATTGTCAGACTTGCTACGCTACTGATAAAATATATACAGTGTATGTAATATTATTTTATCTAATATAGCTACAATTATGCAACCATTATAAGCGTGGGCTTATAATTCGGGCTTTTAAACGATCGATAAGGCTTTTAAACTCATACTTTACTTTCGCGCATCTGCCCCTCCAGGAAAGAGAAAAACAACATGAATCTTTCGGGTGAAGAAAAAATTTTAGGAATCGAATGTGATGTTGTTGGAACAAAGTTTTCAGAACTAACAAAAGTTACATTTGGAAAAATGCTAGTCAATCACGTCCTCGTTATTGTTGTTAACATCATTTTGATTATTCCAGCGATAATTCTCAACGTTATTCCAATCATAACGATATGGACATCGTCTCAACTAAGAAGCAAGCCTTGCTATTTTATCATTTTGATGCAATCAGTGATTGACTTGGCAGTTGGTGTGTTGGGAATACCTCTTTTCCTCACCTTTATGATCAGTCTATTGGATGAAACGTCGAACTGTTTGCTTGCCTTTTTTACTTTGAGAGGGACAGTTCTATTAACTGGATATTCTGTATTTACAATCATTGCTATGACAGGAGAAAGATACATTGCTATCCTACATCCCTACGCTTACCCCACCGTAGTAACAAAGAAAAGGCTTGTGAAATTTGTGTGTTCGTGTAGTGTCGTGAATTCAGCTGTTACTGTTTTTTCCTTTTCATTGGATGACAGATATATCAGGATATACTCATCTGCTATGACATTAATTATTGTAATCTTCATCGTATTTGCTTACACAAGAATATACCTGGTTGTCAGGAGGTTGTCTCGTTCGGAAAGAAGAGCACATGATTCTTCTTCCGAGGGAAACATGACAAGAAGAAAGGTGCTTCTTCAGGAAATCAAACAAGCTAAATCTTGTTTCATGGTAGTAATTTGTTTTTTCATTCTCTCCCTTTTCCCTGTTGTGGCTATTCAGTCGGTCTTCAAAGGCCTTGGCAAATTTAAAAACCTAGCATTCTTTATGTGGGTCATTACGCTCAAACTTAGCGTTTCTATTGTGGACTCTATGATTTTTTTTTGGACGAAGACAATGTTGAGAAAAGAAGCAGTTAAAATACTGAACACAATAGGCCCGTGCCTGTCGTCGAACAATCAGGATACTCATTAGATAAATATAAATATAATGTTCATTAGGTCGTAAATTCCTTTGCTGTATATATTATCAACTTGATGTAAAAATTAAAATCTGTAAACTTGGGAGACGTCGACACATGCACGATATGCTTAAACTAAGGCACTCGCTTCCATTATTTTTAGTGTTTAAATTGTGTGTTTTTCTTGCTATATAACTTTGTTATAAATTTCTGCTTGGATGTTTTTTTACTGCGCAATAGCTGTTTATGCAAAGATTATTGCTTGGCAAATATGAAGAAAATTTTGAAACTCACGGGCCAAGATGCATGCAACACACAACGATACTTTTACCAAATTTTCATGCCGTATAAAAGTTAATTTGAACACTGCCACTTTGGTTGTTAGTTACCTTATCACCGCAAATTATTTTGTCGAAGATAAAAATGCGGTTGCTTCAGAAAACGCATTATAAGCTAAATCTTGTTTCAAACAAGCTAAATCTTGTTTCATGGTAGTAATCTGCTTTTTTACTTTCTACCTTTTCCCTGTTGTGGCTATTCAGTCGGTCTTCAAAAGCCTTGACAAATTTGAAAACTTAGCATTCTTTATCTAGGCATAGCTTCGTTCTTTAGAAAGCAGAGAAAAGCATTATCAAATTGGACGAAAGCTTCCAAGAGCTGCGACATGTCCCAATAGATCTGTTTTTATACTTTCTACATGACTGGAATTAACATAAGGATTTTTGGTCAAAATGGTTTAGCGATCGGAATGTAATTTGCAAAATTTTCAAAGTTTTCTTTAACTACATTATACGCTATTTCATACGGCAGATTATTAAGCTACTTCTGGTAATTTATTATTGCTCTCGTGGTCATCGTATTTTATTCTTGGCTGCAACGGTGTGCCAAGGTCGCCATTCCAAATGGCAATATATTTTAGGACAATAATATTCATTTTATTATTTCGAGTATTCTTAGTTCAAAGCCTATAAAGATAATTTTTCATATCTCCACCGAAATAAACATTTTAAGACATTTCTCTCGATCAACGTTCTATATATTGGAAGAACACTAACATGCATTCGGCGCAACTAATATATTGAAAGGACATTGAGTCACAATAGCAAACACCTGGCACAGCTAATAATCATTTATTCAGTAACCAGCATCGCATTTTAAATTTACAATTAAATTCGGCCTCAATTTCATTTCTATTCATAGTGCTCTTAATGAGATGCGAGGATTGAATAAGTGGAATACCCTACATGTAAATAAATGGTAATGAATGAATCTATTAAACTAATGGTGCAGCTATAAATACTGAGTACAACCACACGGCCCCTTCCTTGCTTAGTTTTAAAATGGTCGTCGTGTGGTGTAGGACGGCCCACCCGGTCTGCATGCCTACCATTGCATTTGTGTGGGTCGAACTCCACCTACGACTTCCCCTCCCTCCTTGGGCATGCTGGAACAGCATGCCGAAGGTGGCTGATAAACATTTACTCTAATCCTTATTCTCACCGAGCAGGGAGAGGGGCACTATGAAATAGATTACTCTTGCGCGCCCAGGAGGATGTCGCAGATTAGCGACAGTACAGTTAATATAAGATATAGATCAGTAGGACATGTTACCGTAATAACAGTCTCTGAACCTTATTGGTTAGTGTTAAGAATAGACGGGAATGAACAGTGGTGATTTTTGGACATTGATTAAGTAGGAACTGTAACCACTTTTACTCGCGTGTTTTTTCCCTTTTATTGATACGTATAAATAATATTTATAAACTATCGATCGTCCGTTTGTTATTCGGAAGAACCTTTGGTACAAGTTCTCGGCTGTTTACGGCAATCACGACGCAATTTCCAGATTAATATTATTCATAACAACACTGAACAATCGAGACATTATTTTTAAGTTTACGTGCATAGACGTCGAATCGATCGACGTAGATCATAAGGTCCCTAAAAGTAATATCCCAAAGATGCGACCACCTATCACCAGATGAATAGCAAGCAGTGAATGATTGATGGCAAACAGTTGCTATTGTAGCTCTGTAAATTAGAATCATTTTAAAAGTGCTATTAAACTATGCAACGTTTGCAGATTGTAAGAAAATGTAGAAAATTGGTTCGTATTTGACAACTTGGGATACCTCAGGAGTAGAATTGCATTGCGGCAACTTGCAAGCTGCAATGTTGCGTACTGATAGCGTTACATGCACCGCCTGAAGCAATGGCGTAGCTGTAAATTTCTCACAGGCGTTGAAATTACTTTTCGTGATGTGCGAACAGGCAATATGCCCAGGTCTAACATTTAGAAGTTTGCGGAAAATTTTCAATCTCCAGGCTTGCAGCGGCGAGATCATGCATGGTCCATGCCTGATGCCTGCATGCCCACCACCTGTTTTTTGTGGTGGGGTTGTGATGCATATGGACCGCGAAGCAAGAAGGCGAGATGCCCTCAACCTTTTTCTCCCGCAAGAAAGTTACCGGACTGCTAAAATTCTGAGTTTCGTGTGAAATTTTCATCGATTTCTGGGCCCTCCCCGACCACTTTTGCACGAGCAAGCTCCACGTGATAGAATAAGAGATCGAGATGATTAGCATATTTAACAGACAGAAGGTAGGCTGTTTTGGGTATATTTGGTACTGTCTTTGGGGGGCGAAGATCACACCAATTGAGGGCACTAGTCTCTGGGCCTCCCAACCGGCCAAGGCCCTTATAGTTCTTGCCCTAACTCCTAAGTGAGAACCCCTAACCCCGGCTGCCGGACTTGTGCTACTCTACTTTATTTTTTTCTTGCGGTTCGAATTCATATTTTAGCGTTTCCTGCAATCTGATTGCCTACGCGAGCGGTCCGTATGAGGCCGTACGGACCGCGCGAGATTTAAAGCACAGAGCCAACGTTAAAATATGAATTCAGACCGCAAGAAAAAAAAATCTATTATTTACCAGTTTAGTCGGTCCGAATAGGGAAATATTTCCCTCGGTCTCAAAACGTAACTGTTTTTGGGACCTTGGGAAATATTTCCCTATATGGACCTCCAATTTCGTAAATAACATACATATATTGCCAGGGAGGACCAACTTTTTACATCTTAGCTGCCGTTGTGGAAAAGCGTACATTACTACCCTCTTTTTGGTTCAGAAAAACTATCAAAAGCGCGTAATTAATAATTATTAACTGCTTGTCGTGTTAAGGTTCAGAGCTGCCTATTGTTTGTGTCTTAATTTTGACGAATATAATTCCACACCACATATTTGCGTATGGCGGAGTCTAATATGGACATCGAACATCAAGCAATCGATATACCGGTAGGTTTTTGAAATATTGTACGTTGTAACAGTATTTAATTTTGTCAAGTAATTTATCACCAAATCGACATCGTCATGTCTCAATTTGATGCTAATAATGATAAAAAAAAGCATCCTGAATATAAATTGTATTGCATAATCGATCCCCATGTATATAAATAATAGATAACTAACATTTGGGGAGATTAAGACCGGAATAAATTTCTTTTCACAAACGTTAGCTATGTTGTAGTTAATAAAATTTGCTAATAATATTTGCTATATGTGGCTAATGAATATATAAGCTTTAAAATCTTACCAATCTGACCAATCTTTAAACCTTATGTATTGACTATATATATATATATCTCAGAATGGATGCCAAATCCCAAATGTTTATACACCTAGTTAGGCCTATATGAATTATTTCTAAATGGTGGTATAAAATTCCCTCAAACCTAAAATATTTCCTACACTGTGACTGCATGTGCATATAGTTTATAAAATGACTAAAGTATTTTAGCACATGTAATTCAACTATGATGATCAAACTATGTATATTTTATAATTGAACTACACAGGGGATTCCTGGTGCAAAGAGAAGTGCTTTCTCTGAAAAATTGTTAGAAACTTATGATGGGATAACAACTGCTTATGAAGCCTACTTAAAAGGAGCTGAAATTTCTGGTGAGATAATATTTCAGTTGTTTATAGGAAACAGCACTCTAAAGTGTTTAGATGTAATCTGTATATACCAGTATAATATACCTTATTTGTCCAGAACTTATTTAACCAAATGTTACAATCAGTAGCGTAGCCAGCCTGACGATTTGTCCTGCTATGCTAATATTTTGGTGTTTATTGACTGTGAAAACAATGAATTTCTGATTACAATTGTCAGTGCATCATTATGAGGCCATATAGTCAGTTAATAATTTTTTAGTATATAAAAGAATATTAAGTTCCTGGTGAGGCACATGCCTCTATACCTATAATCATCAGCTGACATTTATTGCACTCTTCACATTTGCCTTGCTATGATAGCTCTTAATTGAAGTAGGTATATGTTGCAGCTTCCCAAGTTTACAGTTTTTTATCATTGTAATAGTCACTCCTATACGTGTAAGTAAAATAGTATTACAGTAAAAATATGGTTGAATTTGGATACAAACTATCCAAAATTCAGGCAATTACAAAGTGAGGTCAATATAGATGATCCTCTTAGCATTTCCTATGTGGAAGATAAATACCAAACCAGGGGTGGATCAATGCTCTTCTGAAAGGAGAGGTGCATATTTTCCTAAGGGGGTGCATTGGTGTGCTAGCAAATGATTGCCCAGTTACAGTACTTCCTTGCAATATATTGTAAATTTGTGCAAATGCCAAAAAAAGGAGTGGTATGCACTAAGTTGGTAAAATGGGACAGTATGTAATCACCTTTCAAGTTAAAAAGTTACAAGTTACTCTACAGCAGCCTTATTGTACAATTTTCTAGCCTATAATAACATGCATGATAAGAGCCTTCAGTTCGTATACCGTTTTTTCAGGAGGGGGGTTCTAAAGAACTTTAGAGGGTGCACACACACCCTGCACCAAACTATTGCTAATATTGAGAAGTGAAGCACAGTGATCTCTAATAAATAACTGGAATGATACCTTTGTGAAGCCAAGACTTTACCTCCTGACACGCATCTGGTTATCTCCATTATTTATCAGAGTTCACTGGTGAAGCATCTTTTCTGTTCATGCATGTGCTGGTACCCAAGAACCCTCTGATTGATATGTAAAAACATAAAATTCAAAATAAATTGTTTTTGGATATAGCTGGCAAAAAGGCTTTATTCATATAAAATAATCCTGATCAGCTAAAACTGCTATGCAGTACTTAGTGTCTGTTTATGTCTCTTATCACCAGAAATTTGTCAAGTTGTGTAAGTCCAGTAGAGTGATTGTTTGCAAACAGTTCATATATCCATATGGTTATTTCATATCTAATTCATATGATTCATTAAATTATACATCATACTAGCTTAGCTAAAATGTGCATTTAAACATATACAAACCACACTTAATTATCCTGCTATTTGTTTAGGTGACAGGCCCTGCTTGGGGAAACAATTTAATGGCGCCTACGCATGGGTGACTTATAATCAGGTACAAAACTTTCTTTTTTACTAGGGTGCTATGTAGGAATCTTTTGCCAGGGGGGGGGCACTGGCAGCATTTGGAGCAGTAATGTAAACTTAGTTGAAGTCAATTTAGTGCTACAAAATTAGTTTTGTTTTGTCTAGGCAGAGGGGGAGGACAACTGCCCCTGTTCCTCCCTCATCCTGTCTATGTGCAGCTCTGCCTTTTACCTGTTAAATACTAATATTACATTGCTATCACCTTCCATCACTGGCATATTCCGTGCGTTCACATTAACTCGAAATGCGAAGTAATTATACAGTAGCATATTCGCTACACTCACTCTCGTGTATTGTTTTTGCCACTCGAAGTCTCGAACATAAAATCCATATCTTCTCATAGCCTTTTTGCCTGTTTAATGTTCTGTTTGACTAAATTGCATAAGAGTGACAAAAATAGACACGAAGACGAGAAGTGAATAAGCCGCGAAAGACCATTACATAAAGTAAACATAAAACTACCTAGAATAAGTTCAACTTACCTAAAGATGTCTTTAATGTGTTTTCCTTGTCTTTTCAAATTCCGACGTTAATTTCGTTTTATACTACGAACCAAATAGAATTTGTATTGAAATTTGTATTTTTACAACAACAACAATGAAAATGAAAATGGCTGGAAATTATTGAAACTCGTGTTATGTCACTCCCAGTGAACTCTAATACAACTGGAACGATAACTCAAATGATGAAGTCTCTAAAATTACTGTCCATACTAGAAATTCATGCAGTGCAGCACCCCTCGCCATTTTCAACCAAAAAATAATCTCCAGGGCCTAGATTCAACTATAACTAAAAGTTTATATTATGGAATGACTCAATAGCAAAGCGTCGATAGCCAATATTTTTATCATTCGGTAAAAAATATAGTCACAACATTGAAGGTGATGTCACCCATTTTCTACAGGCGTTTATGGACCCTACCAGCTTAGGTAACTGTTAAAATTTCAACATTCGAGGCTTCAGAAAAACATCGAAACAGTACACAATATTCAACTTAGTACAGAATCTCAAATATTCTTTGAATATATATATTAATCTTTGAATATATATGCAGTTGACTGTAAAAGCTCTATTTAAGAAATAGAAAACATTTTCCGTGTTTCTATTTGTTAATTAGAAACGCGCGTGGGAGTTTGGGAGAACGAGAAATAATCAGTGGGATGCCACTGATTATTTCGAGTTCTCCCAAACTCCCACAAGTGTTTCTATAACTGTATAGAAACACAGGAAAAAATGTTTTCTATTTGTTTTATAATATAACTCAATAAAAAGATTTTGTACAAATATTATAATTTGATTCAATTACAAATTCTCATTACATCGCTTCGCTTGTCAAGTTCGGCGGGAAAATTCCCGTGTTTCTACAGGGTGAGTCAAAAAAAGTCCCCCCTATTGAAATGAAGCCTTTGTTGATTTGAATGCATGATCAACGCATGCAGTAGTGTGTAAATAGCATAGTTATTAGGTTGAGGCATTCAAATAAAGCGTCTTGCTTTCAATTGGGTTTATCATAATATTAAGGCAATCAGATTCTAACAAAGGCTTGATTTCAATAGAGGGGACTTTTTTCTGACTCACCCTGTATACAGTTTTAGTATACACCCGACCATTGTCTATTAAGCCGGTTTTCCACTAGCGATATTTTTCGAGCGAATCGACATTTTACTTTTGTTTCAGAGCTCTCAACTGCAACCATCTGAAACAAATTGCTCAAATACAAAGGAATAAAGTCGCTTCGCGCGAAAAATATCGCTAATGGAAAACCGGCTTAACAAATCCTACATTCTGATTGGCTACTTAGCCATTGTCTATTCGTGATGGTGCACGCTTGGGAAAATTTCGCTCGCGCGACCGTATAAAATTGAATTATTTCTCGGTGTAATTGCGGTGTATCGATTATTTTCTCGAAATTAATATATCTAGGTACAGGGTGTATACTTGCCTTCGTTGTCTATGAGCGAATAGTCACCTTCGTTGACTATTCGCTCATAGACAACTCGGACTCGTTGTCTAATTGTTAAATAGAAACACGCTTCTCGACCAATCAGCACGCGCGTACGATAAATGTGTTATAAATTTTTAATTCTTCTATGCACGAGGTAGGAGATCTTTACAAGGGTTTACTAAAGTTCACTAATGTTCTCTTCTTTCTCCGTTCTTCTCTTCTCTTCTGATTATTCGTCCTTTCGGATCTCGTTGTTTTCTGTTCTTGTCTTCTTCGTCAGTTCTGTCGTTGAGCTTCCTAACGTTTCATAAGTTAATCTTTACTCCGTCAGTCCACTAAAGGTTGGGGTGTAGTGCACGCCCTTTTATAGTAACGGTTGAGGGAAACTTGCAGACGTCATCAACCAGAGTGGGCTGATTCTTATCCAACCAATCAGCGTTGTGAGTTAGAAATGTGGGTTGGTCTTAGAAGCTCGTTCCAGCTCTCATATCTTGTTTGTTTAAGGCGTTGTCGCACTAGTCGAGTTGGTCTTCTGCTCAATCGATCATTACTTAAAAATGTTCACAACTTAAAATATTCATCATCAACAACTAGTAAAATATACCAACAATATGTCTGTGAACAATATCTTTTAACTTAACTATTTTCACTCTTATTTTATCGAATTGAACTTTTGATGACGTAATCTATTACATGCTTGACCGAGCAACATTTTTAACACAATTGATTGACATAAGAACTTGAATGGCCTACAGCACGCACACTTTTTATATAAATGCAACCATTAAGATAAGTGAAGACTTAAGACTGTTTATCCAGGTATTAGTTCTGAGAGGACTATAAATATTTTCACCTTATTACTTATTTAATCCCACGATATGTCATACATGAAAGGGAAAGGCGATTAATGTTTGCTAATGGCCGAAAAATATATTTACTCAGGCGTCTTGTGGCAAAAATCATTCACTAATCCCTGTCATGCTCTTGATATTTCTATTTTTGCAGCTATTTTTATATGCATATCTCTAAACACAATAAAGCTTTGCGTAACAAATGTTATATTATAAATAGTTATAGAAACTCGCTTAAAGAATAATATTATTATAAACAACTACATATTATAATATAACATTTATAGTACACGTGTGCTGATTGGTCGAGAAGCGTGTATAACTGTATAGAAACTCGAGAATTTTGTGTAACATGTATGCTTTTGTTCCTATAAAACATAACACTTAATGTATTTTATTTTATTTTATTTTATAAATTTGCCATGTTAAAAAGTTAGAATGAACTACACATAAACTACAAATGAACTACACACATGCAATGCAATGGCTGGAATCACCACACAGAGATATGTCTCCAGTAACGGGGTTCCATAACTAACTTACAAATAGACAGACACAAACATACACATATAAACAAGTTAACAAATTTATAGGAATTTCTTGATACATGAAGAAACGATAACAACAAATATCAAGTGAAATGATTTAATCATAACCGAAGTCAGGATTCGTAAATGTTAATTCAATTAAATTTGGTTAGAGAAGATCTAGAAAATCACGGATCAGAAATACTTAAATACACTACTTCGGGAAATAGTGAGTTTTTTTCCCTCGAGTCTCAATGTTTACCTCGACTTCGTCTCGGGAAATGTTCAGACTCTTGATAAGACAAACTTCGAGCATGAAAGTATCTCGTCGTATTTTCCCGTCCCCTTCTGTATTTACGCGGTGTTCGTACTCGACCAAAAAGAAAATTAGTCGAAATATCCAGAATGCTAATCGTACTTTTGAAGTCTCTGGAGGTGTAGAAAGAAAATTTTCATAATCGTTTCGAATTATAAATTGCCCCCGAATCGGCTATTCGTGTATCCGCGAGTGTCTCATTGAGACCTTTGATTATCTTAGACAGCACTAAAAACAGGAAATATTTAAATTAAAAAGATATACAAATATATCTATAATATTTTAAAACAGATTTAGTTTTCTTAAACAACATTTTACGCTTTTTCGTCGGGCAGATTATTAAACTTCTACTGCTAATTTATTGCTCTCGTTGTCATCGTATTTTACTTTTAGCTGCAACGGTGTCCCAAGGTCGCCATTCCAGATAAAATTTTAAGACATTTCTCTTGATCTACGTTCTATATATCGAAAGAATACTAACACCTGGCGCAACTAATGTATTGAAAGAACAGTAGTAACACCTGGCGCAACTAATAATCATTTATTCGAATGGCTAAAATCAGCATCGCATTTTAAATTTTATTAATGCATCGCATTTTAAATTTTATTAATGCATCGCATTTTAAATTTTATTAATGCATCCCATTTTAAATAAAATTAAATTCGGCTTTAATTTCATTTCGATTTGAGATGAAGGGCCAAACAGACAGGGCGCGATTTTTTATTTTCCAAAAGCAAATAAATATAAACTATATCATGCATAATATTCTTGTAGATCACGTAACGATAATGTACTTTATAACTGCTCTGGCGTCTACGGATTCCAAATCTTGCTTCCAGAGGTTCATTTATATGCTTCTGAAACCCGAAAATTCGCGTCGCGTTGCCGCTTCGCGTCTGGTCTGCGTGGGCCTTAATTGTTTTCACAGTCAATGAACGTCAAAATATTAGCATAGCGGGAAAAATTGTCTGGCTGGCTACGCTACTGATAAAATATGTATGTATATAATAGTACTTTTTATATATAACCAGGGTGCAGCGTGGCAGCGTCTTCAAATAACTTAGCATCAAATGTTGTATGCTGCCTGAAATTGACAAAAACACTTCTCGACGTTTTGATTTGAAGGCCTTCTTCGTCAGGAGAGTTAGTATATGAACTAACTCTCCTGACGAAGGCCCTCAGCTCGAAAGGTCGAGAAGTGTTTTTGTCTATTTTAGGCAGTTGTTCTATCACATTTATTGCTAAATTACTTTCTTTAATGATACCGGCATGTACCGACATTATATTAATACATATAAGATAAACTAATATAGCAATTATATGGGCGTTGACTTGATTAAGGCTTTTATTTTTTTCACTCTCTACCTTTTCCCCGTTGTGGCTATTCAGTCGGTCTTCAAAAGCCTTGAGAAATTTGAAAACCTGGCATTCTTCATGTGGGTCATTACGCTCAACCTAAGCGTTTCTATTGTGGACTCTGTGATATATTTTTGGACGAAGAAAATGTTGAGAAAAGAAGCAGTAAAAATACTGAACAAAATAGGCCTGTGCCTGTCGTCGAACAATCATGATTCTCACTAGATAAATATAAATGTTCATTAGATCGTAAATTTCTTTGCTGTATATATTATTAACTTGATGTAAAAATTAAAATCTGTAAACTTGGCAGACACATGCAAGATGTGCTTAAAGTAAGGCACTGTAAAAAAATATGCAATGAATAAATACTTCAGTCATTCTTCTGATTGGCTTTGATCTATCTCAGTGATTTCAGCCTGGCAAACTTATCATTTTAGCCCGCAGAATATGCTGCAATTCCCATCAAAGTTGATGTAACAAGACGCCTGTTCTGGCGATAACTCCGGCGTGCCGCGCACGTACCATGCAGTCTTCAATATAAAGCTTCTGAACATAAACAATACAGTTCATACTCATTTAGATGGCTTGCGAACCTAAATGCTGTTCGATCGCAAAATTCAAAAGCACATCGTACTTTAAAAGTATAGAAGCTCAATTGTTCAAAAATGTTAATAAACAGAATGATACGTTCACTTTGTCTTAAACTTTGCCTTTTCGCGCTTATATAGTTATATTAAATCTTCAATCCTGTGCAAACTGCGACGTGTCAACGTGCCCATACACGACCACATCTTGTTAAACGGCGAAATAGCAGCGATATTATTAAAATAGGACCAGAATCTAAATGTATTCAATCTAAACTCAATCGAACAGCATGAAAAGAACGGTTTATTTGTTCCTCTTAGGGGAATTGCTGTATCATGCGAGCGAAATCGAATCGCGCATCGAAGAGTTAGCCAAAGATTTCAAGCTGTGCACCACACTCTTTGGAGACAAAACTGTTACGTCGTTAAATACGGTCACATACACCTTTTCAAATACTCGTGTATTATGCGCAAAAACACACTTGCGACGACGAAAAATGATAAAAAAAACAAACGAATTTATCTCAGCCTGGCAAGTGAGCGTTTGATGCAGAAGCCTGAAGCTGTTGTTTTTGCATGTGACGGCGTGTCTTTATTCATGCAATTACTTACACTTTGTTACATTTCGGTAAGCCCTTGGCATAACGAATATAACAAAATCCAGGTTATTCGTTATCAGCTTAAAAAACCTTCCAAAAAACAATAATTTCCCGTCGAAAATTGCGAAATTTGGACATAGGGGTTTGAGACGTTCCCAAAAGTCATGCAAAGATGGGGACATACGGTCGTAGTAGAATTTAAGGCATTTTGCCGCTTGCTTTGTAAGTTCCTTTCAAGACAGTTGATTAGTTTTGATCTTCATGGACGAAAGCGACTGATTCGTGTGAAATCACGTCTGATTCGTGTGAAATCGTTTTTGTGGAGAAACGTATTATAAAACTCATTAAAAAGAACCGGGATTTAAAATGATTATATTTCTTGACCGCCGTCCATATACGCTTTTTCGTACGGCAGATTATTAAGCTTCTACTGCTAATTTATTACTCTCGTGCATGATCATCGTATTTTACATCTAAGTGGAACAGTGTCCCAAGTGTTGTCCCAGTTCGAGATCAACGTTCTGTATATTGAAAGAAAACTAACATGCATTCGGCGCAACTAATATATTGAAAGAACAGTATAAGTCACAATGCCAACACCTGGCGCAACTAATAATCATTTATTCGAATGGCTAAAATCAGCATTGCATTTAAAATTTACAATTAAATTCGGCCTCAATTTCATTTCGATTTGAAATGAGCCTAAAGGCCCAAAGAGACAGGGCGCGATTTTTTTTCCAAAAGTAAATAAATATAAACTATATCATAATATTCTCGTAGATTACGTAACGATAATATACGTTATGACTGCTCTGGCGTCAACAGATTCCAAATCTTGCTTCCAGAGTTTCATTTATATGCTTCTGAAACTTGGGAATTCGCGTCGCGTTGCGTTTCCGCATTCCGGATCCGCAATTCCGTTTCTGCCATTCCGCATTCCGGATCCGCAATTCCGCATTCCGTTTCCGCAATTCCACATTCCGGAACCGCATTCCGGATCCGCGTTTTATCCCAACCCGGTCTGCGTGGGCCTTAATTGTTTTCACAGTCAATGAACGTCAAAATATTAGCATTGCGGGAAAAATTGTGTGGCTGACTACGCTAATGACAAACTATATATGCATGTATATATAATACATATATACTTTTTATATAACCAGGGTGCAGCGTGGCAGCGTCTTCAAATAACTTGTGGTATAACAACTGCTCGAAAACCTCTCGACGTTTCGATCTGAAGGCCTTTGTCAGGAGAGTTATATAGTATATGAACTAACTCTCCTGACGAAGACACTCAGGTCGAAATGTCGAGAAGTGTTCTTGTCTATTTTAGGCAGTTGTTATACCTCATTTATTGCTAAATTACTTTTTAAAATGATACCGGCATGTACCGGCATTATATTCACACATATAGGATAAACTAATATAGCAATTATATGGGCGTATAGACTTGATTAAGGCTTTATTTAATACTTCACTTTCGCGCATCTGCTCCTTCAGGAAAGAGAAAAACAACATGAATCTTTCGGGTGAAGAAAAATTTTTTGGAATCGAATGTAACGTTGCTGGGACTAAGTTTTCAGAACTGAGAAAAGTTACATTTGGAAAAATGCTAGTCAATCAAATCTTCGCCATTCTTGTTAACATCATTTTGATTATTCTTGCGTTAATTCTCAACGTTGTTCCAATCATAACGATCTGGAGATCCTCTCAACTGAGAAGCAAACCTTGCTATTTTATCATTTTGATGCAGTCGGTGATTGACTTGGCAGTTGGTGTGTTGGCAATACCCCTTTTCGTCACCTTTATGATCAGTCTATTGGATAAAACGTCGAACTGTTTGCTTGCAATTTTGACTTTGAGAGGCACAGTTATATTAATTACGTTTTCTGTATTTACAATCATTGCTATGACAGCAGAAAGATACATTGCTATCCTACATCCCTACGCTTACCCCACCCTAGTAACAAAGAAAAGGCTTGTGAAATTTGTGTGTTCCTGTATTGTCGTGAATTCAGCTGTTACTGTCCTTTCCTTTTCATTAGATGACAGATATGTCAAGATATACGCATCTGCTATAACATTAATTAGTGTAATCTTCATCGTATTTGCTTACACAAGAATATACCTGGTTGTCAGAAGGTTGTCTCGTTCGGAAAGAAGAGCACATGATTCTTCTTCCGAGGGAAACACGACAAGAAGAAAAGTGCTTCTTCAGGAAATCAAACAAGCTAAATCTTGTTTCATTGTAGTAATTTGTTTTTTCGCTCTCTGCCTTTTCCCTGTTGTAGCTATTCAGTCGGTATTCAAAAGCCTTGACAAATTTGAAAATCTGGCATTCTTTATCTGGGTTTTTACGCTCAGCCTTAGCGTTTCTATTGCGGACTCTGTGATATTTTTTTGGACGAAGAAAATATTGAGAAAGGAAGCAGTGAAAATACTGAACACGATAGGCCTGTGCCTGTCGTCGAACAATCACGATACTCACTAGATAAATATAAATGTTCATTAGGTCGTAAATTCCTTTGCTGTATTCCTTTCATTGATGTATAAATTAAAATCTGTAAACTTGGCAGATGATGTGCTTAAACTAAGGCACTCATATTCACTAGTTTTAGTTTTAAATCGACTGTTATTTTTTGCTATATAACCCTGTTATAAATTTCTGCTTGAATGTTTTTTACTGCTCAAAAATGTGCAAAGATTATTGCGCGGCAAAGGCCATGAAAATTTTGAAACTAACGGACCAAGATACATGCAAACACAATGATACTTTTACTGAATTTTCGTCAGGAAAATTTGCCGTACAAAGTTAATTTAAAAGTAGTGCATGGAAGTGTCAAATCGAATTATAATTTCAGTTTGATTTGCACACTGCCACTTTGGTTGTTGGTTGCCTTATGACATTAAATTATTTTGATATGCATATTTCTTTTATATGTTGGGCAACCACTTTGAGTGTCCCTACATTAAAACAATTTTGTCCGTTACAGAACAACCCGTGATTAAAAAACTCAAGGAAAATAATCTTTGACATGGTTTGAGGTTTCAAATTACGTCGCAGAAAAAGGCAGTTAAAATCTTAAATTATTTGCAAAAATGCAAAATGTATCTTCTGAGCTATTCAGAAAATTCCATCATTTTGAATTTTGACGCGCAGGGTGAATAATAGATATAATATAATATAATAAATCAGCAAACTTAGGCGGGGTATTGAGTATACTACTGTGCATTGGCAAAAAAATACTATAGTTATTTCATCCGAGATTTTGACCGAAGCCATGCATGCGCCAGGTCATGTGAAGGACCCAGAAGTTTATATTCACGTGAGATGTGTTACATGAATGATTATTCGCACTTATTTTATAGCATTTATTTTATCGCATTTATTTCAAATAAGACTATTAAAAAATTACGAATTAAAATTATATACAAATACCTATGTAATCTTTTAAACAAGATTTACCCTAAATCTCATTACACATATTTCAGGTTTTAGAGAGAGCCGCCGATTTGGGGTCAGGAATATTGGAACTCGGTTACCAGCCTTCCGCAGAGACGTTCGTTGGCATTTATGCCGCAAACGGAGTTGAGGTTAGCTTCAAACTAATTTCAGGGTTTTTTTTGCTACTGAAATTCACAAAATCCGCACTAGTTTCGAAATTGTTTCCTTACTTTAGAATTTGTTTGAATTAGTTTCAGAAACCGTTTAAAATAAACATATTTTAATTAACATAAAGGGCGCTGATTTTTCAAAGGGTGGTAAAGTATGCTAAAGTAGATGTCTGCGGCCCAAGCACCGGCCAACACGCCTATCCCTATAGGGTGACCAAGGGAATTTTTTTTAAAAAAAACTGATTTGGCTATCACTGTTATTGTCCCAAAATAATACTTGCTGTGGAGATTATATGAAAGCAATTTTAATCTGTGGCATATGAACCACTATAATTGGGGGGGGGGGCACATATTCATGTAGCTATTCATGTTAACAGACTGTAGGCAGTCGATTTGAGAAAAAAATGATCTTGCGGAACATGAATATATGAATATGTACCCCCTCCCCAATGACTATGCCGCTGATTTTGAGTCCCGGAGAGACGAAAGAGACTATTGCATCGGTAAAATGAAATAAATACTATAATACAATGTCTGTTCTTTTAGTGGATACTGGCAGATGTGGCATGTCTTACCTACTCAATGGTGTCTGTACCCCTCTACGACACACTGGGTTCAGATGCCTGCACCTTCATCATAAATCATTGTAAGTCATTAGCTCTGTTGCACACGTGGCTGAGCAAAATATCACTCGTTAAGGCCCTCACAGACAGGACGCGATCTGGCAACACGGCGCGAATTTTCAAAGCTTTTTATTCTTCAACAGCATGCAACTATTATAATATTCTTGTAGATTACTTAACGAAAATACATTTTGACTGCTCTGGCAACCATATATTGCAAAATTTCCTTCTAAAATTTAATTTATATGCTTCGAAAAACTCAAAACTCAACCTTTAGGCTGCTTTCCACTGTTGCGTTTTTTAACGCGCGGAAAAATTTTAAATGTTTCGAAATTTTTATTATTTAACACATGCCGGGTCAACAATTGCATACTAAAACATGCTGAAAACTAAGTTCTGTCGACGTATTCACCTAGCTTTTTCAAATATGACATATATATGGATTTATACTTATATATAAAAACTCGACAATTGAAAACTGCCCGTATAGCTTGGCGTGTATATACGACAAACCTCTAATCGGAAACCGCAAAATCCATCAGGAATTTTTCAACAAATGCGAAGTTTTTGAAGCCTGGAAATCTTTTGCGTTATTTTCAGACATGAAAGTAACTATATATTAAGACGAATAGTGGTCGAGGGAAAGTACCAAAAATACTACCTGAAAACGTGACTTGAAATTAGCCGTTTACCGTTCGCAGTTGGCCGTATTGATTGGGATTAGGGTCCTTAATAGTTTGGTTTTTCAGGAGGCTTTTAAGAAAAATTTAAGAAAACTTTAAAAAGAAGAAAAATTTTGGGGTTTTTGGCTATCGATGAGACTAATATTACGAGTACATGTATATGAGTTATTAGCTCAGACAATTTATATATTTGATCATTTTAATATGTCCCAGCGCACTTAACGCGAGGCTGCCTACTCCACTGCTTCCGTCTTCCGGCCATCTGTAATTTAAACCCTAAATACGAAGTGATTTAAGACAAATGGTTTATCTCTTAGCCAGTACTTGCTAAATTATATGGGCCCAATGGCACAATTGCATATAGACCAGCTAATGAGGTAACAAGAAGGGAAAACTTCACCACAGCTAAAAATAATGTTAGTTCTGTGTGATATCGAGTGTAGATTTTTGTTATTAACATGTAGCCAATATTTCACTGATCGTGTGCGATGAAAACAAAGTAGAAGTTTTGTTAGCGAAAGCTGAAGAGTGTCCGAAGTTGAAACACATCATTACAATTGGAGATGTTAAGGAAGAAGTCGAACAGAAGGCTGGGAAACGTGGAATTATGGTGAAATCGTTTAAAAATGTGACGGTATACAACGTGAATTTTTTTCTTTTTTTCGTTGGACTTGCTACAATGCTGTTCCAATCTTGTATTGCCAAGTTTGTAGCAACTTACAATATCTGTATTCGACTTGAGAGAATAACCTTTTAGCAACTCTGATAATGCCATCCAATGAGTAGGTTTTCCCACAAGTTCCACCTTAACCACGTATACCATATATATCTATTATATTATTATATCATATCTAATGCAACTATTTCTCGAATACTTTTTCAAGGATTTTGGAAAGAATAACCGGAAAGAAAAATCTGTAAGTTCGTAGTCTTGTCTTACTATAGCAGTCAGTATCTCAAGGAATATATCGAGCATTTATATCGAGCCGATTTCAAAAGTTGGGATTTCCGTGTGCTTAATACAACGATATATAATTGAATTTTTGTATCGCGAAAATGAGTAACAAGTTTGTCTAACTGTAGTCTTTGGTGTGTTTAAAATAAACGTACAAATCGTGTCTTCTTAATTAACGTGGATCATCAAATTATTCTTTGTAAAATTTATTCTAATAGTGATATTGAATCCATATACTTATTACCTATATCATAGGGGAATTTCTTTATTATACCAATCAGCAAGTTTGTTTAATTTCATTAACCCAATCAGAATGCATAAATTTTGATAAAAAGTACAATATATACCATTTTACATGAAGTAATAAAAATTTAGGCATTCTGATTGGCTTTGCCTAAAAAATGCAAACGAATATGACGATACGATTAGTTCAAAACGAAATTCCTCCTTGTTAGCGATTATACTTTTCGTTATATTATATATATAGTATTTTATATTTTATTCATATTTCTAGCCTGGTAAACCTGATGATCTTGTTACAGTTTGCTACACAAGCGGGACGACAGGTATATTTAAACATTTTCGTTATTATCTTCGTTGTTTCCTGAAGGTTGGTCGTGTCAGGGTGGTTTAATTGTATTCGAAAATTTGCCTGACTAACTACGATTTCGGACATCAATGATCATAAGTGACTTGAAGATTAGTCGTTCAATTTCGCCTTTGAGAGCAAGTTTCACCTTCGACTCGAGATGTTTCTCATGTTAGCATTTTCAGCCTGAATGCAGTTACAATTTCTGCCCGTAGTACAAAAGTATATACAAACTTGTAAACATTGCAACATTCCTTATTTTGCAACATTTTCAAACCAAATTTTGCGTTCTTAGTAATTTTTGTGCTTAAGCTGTTGTGACTTAATTAGCCATTTCCCAATCGAGCTGGGTACTGGGTCCAGTCACGAACCGCAAAGCATCTATGTACTGTATGGAGGGAAAGTCTGAAATCATTTGTCCCTCCAAACAGTCCATAGTTGCTTTGCGGTTCGGGACTCGACCCAGTACCCTGCTCGATTGGGAAATGCTAATGGCGTTTCCTTTCCGATATATTCCAAAGTAATCAATAATGCAATTACAAAGTAATCAACTATTTACCTGTCTTGCAGGCCAGCCGAAGGGAGCTATGATAACAAACAGGAATATAGCGACTGGGATTGCTGCGACGCGCATACATTTTGAACGGGTATGAATGATTTATAGTTAAAGGCATGCTGGTACATTGGCTAACTTTGTAAACTACACACGAAAGGGAAGATTAAACTAGCTAACTTACTTAAGGCGGTGGTAAAAAAGTCTTTCAAAGAATGGGTGCACACCGATATTTTTCATGATAAATGGAGGTAGCCCCATTAAATATATGTTTGTGCATATTTATTTAGTTTTCTGCACCAGTTAATACTGTATGTAAAATTTGTATTTATAAACTCTACATTAATTAGGTGACCATGCATTTGTATCGAAATCGAAATTATGTAATTGCGTGCATGTTTGTCAAACAAATGTCTGATTCAGAACAAATTCTTCAGAATATATAGGATAGGTTTGATCAAGTCTTCCCGACTAGATTCCCGAAAGCGTTAATTTGTTTTTAGAATGGCCGTCCACTAGTTCCAAACGATGTTCAAATCTCCTACTTACCTCTACCTCACATTTACGAACGGACGTTACAGGTAATGGATTTTCTTTAACTTGTGATTATATATTCTGTCGTACATATTTGCTCATGTTGCAAAACTGTTGTCAATTACCTATTGCTTTTCGTAGCAAATTTGAAATTAAAGTTCAAATATTGTCTCTAATGAAAAAATAGGTACGCAATATGCGTACGTGCGTCTACGTTGCGTATCATATTTTGAGAGATTTGGTCGTATTTTGAGTAATATGCCGAAATAGACACATTTTCGTTTGGCAATCACTCCTGCTCCAAATATTGATGCTTAACCGGCGTTTACCGATTTTGCTCCGACGCTTAGCCGGTAAAATCCGACTGACGTCAGTTCCGATAAAATACCGGTACAAATTTTCAAAGCAAAAGCGCTTTGTTTTCTCTCCTTTTATTTCTTGAATACTGAATGCATGTCAAACACAACAATTTCATGGTGATTGAATTGTGAATTTGGCTAATCTTTGTTAAGCTTTGCCCATGCAGTAAATGTTTCAGTTCAGCTAAATAACAACGACTTCAATAGTTTTTTCCCTCATAAAACTCCTAGTTTACATACATGCATTTGGGAGGTTTATCATACAAGATGCGTGTTTGATGTTTTTTGCGAAACATGCCAAAAATGTTTTTGGGTACTGCGTTTTTCAAACGTTTATCTTTATATAGTTGGTATTACGTAGTTCTGGCTCAAGGAGTGGGTTTTCCCGAAATGTTGTCGAACTGCTATTCGAAGATATACGGTTGTTAAGGTAAAATGTTTATTTTATTTTAAAAGAAAAGCGCAACATAATTGTAAGGTCTCAAAATTCTATTCAAGATATGAAGGAGTATTTGAACATTGTAACTAATTCACTCGTTCACATCTATCAGAAGAAGAAAATCCCACATAAAATCGCAGAAAAAATTGCATTTGTAAACGGGCCGTTCGGTGGTTTATATTTCTTCCTTTTATTTTCTACAAATGTCTGCTGTCAAAGAATGATTGATGCTTACTTGGCTGCAAAATATTATACAAGTCGTAATTAGGCCGTTTTTAGCTATATATTTACTTTTTTATGTAGACCTACGGTTTTCCCATCCGTTCCTCGTTTGTTAAATCGCCTTTACGATATGGTAGGTTGAGTTGAATTCTCGTTGCTGTATGAAAAATGTCCCATTTGTTACATATTAAACAATTATTTGATGGTTTTCGTGTTTGGATGGCCTTATTAATCCAAACAGGCAGGAATGTTGCAGAGTTAAGGTAACAACAACGTAGTGTTCCAAGTTTGATTTCCATAAGCGAATTAAAGCGAGCTTCGACCAATAAGAACACACGTTATATACATGTTATTTTATAATATTTCTTTCATGAACCATATCGGTGAATTTCTTGGGTAGTGTCGCAGCTCCTCGCAAGAATGATTTTCATTGGCTGAACTTTACAATAGCTACATTTCTGTTTCAACCAATAGCATAGCTTCGTTCTTTTGAAAGCATAGAAAAGCATGATCCAATTGGACGAAAGCTTCCGAGAGCTGCGACATGTCCCTATTTCTTCGGACGTAGCTATTGTATAAAGAATGGGTGCATACTGTCGCTGATCTTTAGTAGGACAATATAATAGACTGTTTAAAATATAGTAAATATACTAAAACGCGAAGACTACGTACGTATAATGTTTAACGTAGGTTATTAAAGATCGTGCCCACATGCCGCCTTTTCTTTATATTTTAATTGCTCATTAAACGAAGAGTTATGAATGACCAAATAAATATAAGATTTTAAAATTTTGTTGAATTTATTCTGTAAAAATTTGAATTAAAGCAATGTGAAAAACAATAATTTTTCATTGCAATTCAATGTTTTTCTGCAGATAGTTGCATCCGTAGAGGGAAGTGGTGGAATAAAGAAACGTTTATTCAACAGGGCATTTGCCTCAAAATTGGCTGACCTTGAAAAGTAAGCAATGAACTTTACAAGACTGCGGGGCAGCAATCCTTCGTTTCAATGCATATCTTAGAACTAATTTATAAACGTTCTCTGCAGACCTGCTTTGATTACTGTTTCTCTTTGTGGGCCACTTGTGGTAAATCGCCAAGGGATAACTATACCCTTTTTCAGCCTCTTTACAATGTTTTAAGAACTTATAAAGTTTTTGCATGTTTTGAAAAATTGTAAAGATCGCTTAAAAATGTGTTTGTCTCTTCCAGAGGTCAAATTTACAACAATAGCTTTTGGGATAAAGTGGTGTTTAGAAAAATCCAGGTACAACATGGAAGTAGATAAAAATAAGTCGCATAACATGCGTGGTTTAGTGCTTCACGAATATTTCTCAACCGTTTTTTTGGATTAGATACGGTCGTTTAGAAAATTATGAAACTTTGTAGGAACACTGAGGTCTGAAATTCTCTGTTTAAGGATTATAGAAACACTGAGGTCTAAGATTCTCTGTCTACTTTTTAGGCAGTCCTGGGTGGAAGGATTTCTATTATAGGTACTGGAGCAGCACCGATCGAAGCAAAAGTTTTAACTTTTTTTAAAGTTGTTTTCGGGTGTTGGGTATGTGTTTTAACAAGTAATTCAAACATGTTTTTTTTTCGAAAACCTAAACCTTAAATAAACCCTGCTCATTGTTGCCCCCGTCTCATTTTGTGTCATTTTGAAATACTATTTATATTTAATATTATACGCTGTACCAAAACAACAATTTCCCTAAAAGGTTGTCGAGGGTTATGGTCAAACTGAAGGTGTTGGATGTGCAGCCATGACCAATTTGCGGGATAAATCCGCAGGTACATTTATTACCACAGCACGTCCGAAGAATTGCTCCTCTTGATGGAACGTTAACAATCAGGGCATAGAACAGATTTGTGTTTGATTCGTAATAGCTGAAAAATATTTAAAATATTTTAAATCCATTACACACTGGGTTTGACTATTTTGTCGCATTTATTGTGTTCCGGTCAGTTACCCCACATTTCTCGGAAACATGTTAATCATATTGTTTCATTCGACATATTTCTTGAAATACAGGTCATGTCGGACCTCCCACAGCAACCTGTTATATCAAGCTCGTTGATGTCCCAGAAATGGAGTATTATACTTCCAAGAATCAAGGCGAAGTAATTATCTTTGTTAATACATAAAGAAGTGTCTCTTTTAGCGTTTTGCATTGGAAAACTGTTCTAAAAGAAGTCGTAATATTTCATAAATATTCATATAACAGAATTATGTTTAGTGAAATAAGACTTACCCGTAAAAGGTCTCAGGGTATACCGAAAATTGTATGAGAGAGTTTTCGCCAGAAAGGTATCCGCCTGTTAGAGAGCCATTTTAAATTCAAAAGTCGCGCAATCTTAGAGGGTTGTTTAATTATATTAAAGAGCAATATCCATAAATTGATAAGATATATCCATATAAGATATTGCAAAATGTCAGAATTACCTCGGTTGTAGGCGTTATATAGGGAAGTGCTGTCTTGATGATGAGGTTTTCATCTTGAGTCGAAAGTTCATATGCAAAAGGTCCGTGTTTTTTATTAAAACGGACTTTTTAAATTTTTGCCCATATTTAAGAGGTGCACACATCACATAGTCAAAGCATTCATCATTTATACTCGCGTTTCCAATCATTTTATATTTCAGGTGTGCATTTACGGTACGAATGTGTTCAAAGGATACCTAAAAGAACCTAAGAAAACAGCTGAAGTCATAGATAAAGATGGATGGCTTCATAGTGGTGACGTTGGAGAGTGGAAGCCGGTGTGTTTCCTAAGCCTTTTGCCCCATTGAGATTTACGGTTACTTCTGCGGTGATAAACCAATATCATACAGGAGACGTAAGGATGTGTTTGTTTAAATAATAACGACATTGATACGACACTGTTTTCATATAGAACGGTACTTTGAAAATTATTGGACGAAAAAAGTGTATCTTCAAGTTATCACAGGTGGGTTGGTTTTATAGTAGGTCTACGATTTATAGTACAAAGCAGAGTGGCGCGTTAAAATGATTGCAGTGAAATTCAAAAACAGCCTGAATTAAAATGTTAGTTCTTAAAATGTCCTTAAATAATTAAATTTTATTCAAAATATTGTTGATTTAATTAATTTTGTGAAAATTGCATGTGCGAAGAAATTAATTTGAGCACCCTAAAACGATATAGCTTTGCTCATTGAAGGCTCTGGGACTTCTTCTAGGCTATTATTGGCACCATAAAGATGACATTAGGAATACAACCATAGGGCAAATATATAAAGCTAGAATAAAAAAATTGACGTATCGTTTCTGCATCATTTAACACAGGGTGAATATGTTGCTCCGGACAAAATTGAGAACGTTTACATCAAAAGCCCTTTCGTAGCTCAGGTGTTTGTTTACGGTCACAGTCTGAAGGTAAGATTTTTAATTATTTTTACGCGCTTCTCCTCAGCCCTGTTAGGTTTTCTATTGAAACCGAAGACGAAATCAATCAAATGATATTGATATGCGATTATTTAAAGATTGTTGCTACAGGTCACGGCACACCCATCACCATATGTAGCTCAGGGTGATTCGAAATCATTTGCGATTGATAAACTTTGCTTATTTTTTACTATAGTCCTTCATTGTTGGTATTGTTGTGCCTGATGAAGCTGTCCTTTTGAAATGGGCCTCAGAAAATGGTTTTTCTAAAACATTCCAGGAATTATGTGAAAACAAGGTATGTATACGCACATATTTCTTTTAGGTATCGTAATTCGTACGAACAAGGAGGAATTTCGTTTTAAACTAATTGGCCTATTTGTTTACACTTTTCAGGCTAAGCCAATCAGAATACCTAAATTTTTTATACTTCATGTAAAGCGAAAAATAATGTACCTTTTACTGGTAGTCAATATTTATGCATTCTAATTTGGTAACTGAAAATGTAAACAAAATTGCTGATAGGTCTGAAACGAAATTCCTCCCTGTTATTCGTAGGTAGATCAAATGATTTGCGCTTCAGTAATTCGTTCTCTCGGCACTATCTCTCCGTCTCCAATTCCAAAATTCCAAAAAGGCTGAGTAGCAATATAGTGTGGGATTCCTGAAAAGTATTTATTATTATATATTCAGTCTATATTGTTTTATTAAAAAGGATGTGAAAGACATGATTTTTAAAGATATCGTTGCCCGAGGAAAAGAAGCGAAGTTGGCATCATTTGAACAGGTTCGAGATTTAAAAAAACAGCTCTCACATGCCGCATTTTTCCCCTTATACATTATTTTCAAATTTTTAAGTTTTCACTGTTTTTTCTGTAGGTCAAAAATATCCTCTTGCATTCGGAGTTATTTAGCATTGAGAACGGCTTACTTACACCAACATTTAAATCGAAACGTTTCACGTTGCAGAAGAGATTCGCCGAAGAAATTGAAAAATTGTACAAAAATCAAGAACAAACAATTCGCCCCAAACTTTAATTACAAACTTAACAATATTTTTATAACCAGTAAAAACTGACTAGCTATATTAGGAGAAAAAAAGTCCGAACATTTTACATGCATGTATCTTTTTTCTCAAAATGCATGCATACAAATAGTCATTTAACAAGTACAATTAATTGTATAATATTCCAGTTTAATCTAAATTGTTACAGTGTCCGACCTGCTTTCTCTCAGATAATGTTTCTAAAAATATTAATCACAACAGACAATAGCGGTTTTGTCAAACTCGCACGTGTACTGAGTTCACAAGTTATATAAATCGAGTTTTTTTATCTAGTTCATTTTTATAAAAGGGGATTTCAATATTTTGTTTATGATGAGAATTGTTTGGATATGAAAATGTTGTTTAATTAATAATCATGCTAATTTTTGTTCTTGGAATTTTTGAAAATTCATAGTTCATAATGATGTCTTTATAACTAGCGGATTTAGCGATACAAACACGAGGTCGTGAGGCATATTTCAAACCTTCTGTCCTCTCATAAATATTTTCTATACTTATTACACAAAGTTTCGAGGTATAATAACTGAATGGATTTTTAGACCCTTTGGAATTGAATTGCAAATTGGTTCTAGTAATTTATGTTGTAAACATGCAAGCATGCATAAAATTTTTCAATTTTAAATTCTGCAAAGAAATGTGGTTTTAAAGATCTCGTGTTGGCATGATTTCGCTACAAATAAAAAAGCTTGCATCTTAAACAATTTTAATGTTAGCTGCGCTGTCGTGGATGATGCCTCCAAACTGTAGTCCCCAACAAGTCACAATCACTTGTACTTTTCGAAATATATTTATTGATCACAAAACACTAGTGCAAGGCTATCACTTCACAAGTACGCACCCAACTCTTTCTCACTGACTAATATATGGATGATAATTAGGCTATTACATTACCCCTGTCAACTAAACTGAAGACGAATAACAAGACAAGAAATATTGAAGCCGGACGCATTATGCATCTCTTGTGTGAAAACGGCCAATAAACAGTATAGCTAGGCCCTGGGGACGAGGATGCAGTATAACAAATTAACAATTCCTTATAACCAGATACCAGTCTCAGTCTCCAACTTGTCTCCAACAGTCTAGTCCCTAGGCCAATCTCGAAACCAGAGCCCCCGATGGATCGAGGGCTCTGTTTTCGAGATTGGTCTCTAGGCCTCTTATACGTTCCTTAGTACACGCGGCGAGGCAGCCTAGTCGCTAAGCCTCATTGCGCGGGTTTTAAAAATCCGTGACGTCACCGAATGAAACACGCGCGAGAGGCCCAGTGAAGAGGGCTAGCACAAAATGTTTTCTAATGTTAACGGGGACACTTAAAAATTCAGTGCTTCCACATCTATGGAAATTTCAACATCTTATGGAAATTTAAGCATAAGCAGTACAAAAAGTGGGTACTAAGTTGCTAACTCACGCGAAACGTAATTAGAGTACTTTTTCAAGGAGTATGCTTTTTTTGAACACCGCAGCTGTTATGACCCAATATATTTATATGACGCTGTATATGATTTTGTATATATGTATGTTACATGATGAATAATATTGATATTTCATATGATTGCACAGTATACTGATGTTTTGGATGCTCTGTGATGGTACTATTTAATATTTGCATTCAAATATGAAACTGAAAGGTGATCTATTCCACAGATTGTTTACTTTTCTGTCAACATGTATAATAAATTATGATTGATTTGTTTATCATTAAACACAAGGCCATGTATTTCATCGACGAATACCCTGAACAACAGCGTGTTTATATTATATAACGTGCTTATGCAAACGTTCAGTCATGTTGAACCAAAGTTACTAAAGGCGATTCTCCATCACCGTTCGCTTCACCCGCGCGGGCGAAGCGGCCTTTGAAATTCTGTCCATGCGACCGTGATGGGTCTGAAAAACAAAGCGCGCTTCGCCCGCGCGGGCGTAGCGGACGTAATGGAGAATCGCCTTAAACAAAGCCTGAAACGTGCGCCGGTGAACATACGTGGCACATCATAATATTGGATGATATCATGATGATTGCTATTTTTTACGCTATTTGCAATTATAATCTTGTCGCGGGTTTTACATTCTACAGTTAATTCTGGACATGAACCCTATTACCGCGAGCAAGTCTTCCAGGAATTATAGTACAGCTTCGTAGAAATGGACATCGAAAATCAGGGAATCGATGTACCGGTGGGTGGTAGAAATATTGTAACAATATGTTGTATGCCGAAATTCAATGCGATGAAAATCATCAAGTCTTTGTCTTTGATGCATATGTAATTTTAATAAAAGGACATTCGGGCACATTCCATTATAAATATTATCGTACTGGGGTCGGTTGTATGAAAGCCGGATAGCGCTATCCACTGGATAGTGTTTTTTTCAATCGCTTTAAAATCGCCCGTTGTTGGATTTAACTTTATAAATTAAATGTGGGAAGATAAGACACAAACTGATCTACTTCGACAACTCGACAAGCACTACTTTTTCATTATCTATTCGCTGAAGTTATAATATAAACAAGCTGTATGAAAATATTAAATGGATAATAATTATAGCATAACTCAATAAATAGATAACGAGGCTAAATGAGAATTACTTCGTGATATAAAATCATCGTAAAATGACACCAGTAATTCAATTATGTTTTGTAATTCAACTATATTCTGTCGTTGAACTACACAGGGAATTCCTGGTGCAAAGAGAAGTGCTTTCTCTGAAAAACTATGTGAAACTTATGATGGGATAACAACTGCTTATGAAGCCTACTTAAAAGGAGCTGAAAAATCTGGTGATTATAATTTATAGTTAGCCAAGGAAACAGCACTGAGTGTAGTACTTATTAATTAAACCATTAGAAAGGTCAGTGGAGATTCATTAGGCCAGCTAGCTAGGTAATGCATAAGTTTTTTTTAAATATTTCTTAAATATTTTTTATAACAAAATATTAAGTTCCTATATCACAATGCAATAGGAGATAGCAAATTGAGATAGATTTTGAATTTTTGGTTTCCACCTAATGTATTTGAAAACCCAATATCCAAAATTGAATGTGTTTAGGGTTCCTCTCCATATTGCTGGTGCTGTGGGTAAAATGAATGTGCCCTTTTCTAAAACTCTACTCTGCTACCACCCTGAAGTCTGAACTATACTAATTGGTGCCCCTGGTTTCTGTTCATATTATGGTATATGAAGATACAATTATTGATTTATTAAGTTTTTAAATACCCAAACGTCTTGACCTAGTAGCTCATTTGGAAGAGCATTGGACTAGCTAGCAAACCAACACTCAAGGGTTCGATTCCCACCATGGTCAAGCTAATTTTTCAGCTTCCTTAGTTGGTGAAACAGAGTAGCATCATCACAATATTCAATGTTGTTTGATACTTTATCACTGTCCTGAAAGCTCTACGTATTCTTTAAAAAAATGCTAGTGTTAAACATGAATCATAAATCATGTTTCTTCAAATGCTGCAATTTGTATTTTCCAAACTGTGTAAGTAATTGTGATGCTAGTGCTTATTTATTGTAAACAGTATATATATGCATAAAATGTAATTGAATGGTAATATATATTTTGTTGGTGTAGACATCTAGCTTGCTTTAATAGGTGTGTGTACGAACCATACGCTTGATGCTTCTAAACATGCTCTCTTGCTATTTGTTCAGGTGATAAGCCCTGCTTGGGGAAACAATTTAATGGCTCCTACACATGGATGACTTATAATCAGGTATAAAATTCCTTTCACCTGTTAATATTTCTTATTGTATACTGGCAAAAACCTCCCAATATACATTTAAATGGTTTAATACATTCAAAGCTTTAACCCCTGTCAGCTAGCCCTGGGTAAATTCTGACCTGTAGTTACCTACATGCAATTAACTATTTTCGTCATTAAGATAAGTTGTGTCATAATACGTCATACTATCTTATTAGGATAAGTTAGTATGACGTAACCGCGTTGACTTGGCAATGATGTCATAACTTTAGTTACGATTATTGTCTCCTTGATCTCAATGTATTCTATGATTAAACTGGTATGATTAAACTGGTATCCTGACATCTGGTATCCTGATTAAGACACTGTTTTAAATGCAGGCCGGGCAAAGTAAAACATAAGGATCATGTTGAGTAAAACAACAGAGCCAGGAGAATTTCCATGCACAATTACAATTCAGCCCGCTAATCTGTGCTAGTTAGTGTCAAATGTTCTTGTCTAAGCATACGGGTTCTTAGAACGTTTCATATTTACTGATATTTAATTTAAAAACACAAAATAACTTCGGATTTCTGTCAGCCGCTTTTTTAAAGTCTCGGGCGGTTTTTCTATACTCTCGGGCGGTCTCGGGCGGTTTTTCTATACTCTCGGGCGGTCTCGGGCGGTTTTTAGTAGGACCCCAATTTGCTGTGTCAGAAATTTAATTGTGAAATGAGGAAAACAACAAAACGATTATATAAAAACATACAACATGCATGCTCATCACATTTGACAAGCAGTCAATATTCAGTGACTTACATATTACATACATACTCTAAAGCTGGTGGCCACATGAAGCTCATTCACCCTCATTGATATGGTCCTAGAAGCAGCCATATTGGTTTGATTAAACTTGTTCCATTTATCAACAACAATGACCTGCCAACTGGCTGAAATTCTGAATGAAGAATCATTTGTTTTTTTACTCTAAATCACCTCAGGTTTTTACTCTAAATCACATCAAACACATTTCAGGTTTTAGAGAGAGCTGCCGATTTGGGGTCAGGAATATTAGAACTCGGTTACCAGCCTTCCGCAGAGACGTTCCTTGGCATTTATGCCGCAAACGGAGTTGAGGTTGGATATTATGATAAATTCAGGGGCCGGTTGTATCAAGCCCCTTTAGCTTAAACGGTGGATAAGTCAAATTTAAATAACACCCTTACGGTGGATAAGTCAAATTTAAATAACACCCTTACATCTCTCTTGAATGAGTCAACTTGAATATTATGCACTGAATATGTACTTGTAAACAGTATTGTTGTATTCAGGTTAAAAACATTTTGTTTGCTTCTTCTATAAAACGATAGACTTGCTTTCTATTTTGAACTTGACCACCGTTTAAGCTAAAAGGGCTTAATACAACCGGCCCAGTACTTTAATCCACTAAATCCGCATGGCCGGCAACGGCTCGAACAGTTTCAAACTGAAACTTTTTGGTTTAGATTAATATATCCCTTATATCCAGGTTAATCTCCACAAGGGATTGATTTTTCTATGGGGGGGATTTAGCTTTCTATTCCGCCACGAGTAAGGCGAATATGCTCAATTATGCTTATATTCATATATCTTCGTCTTATGCCCGACTGATTTCCTTTGTGAGCTATTGTTTCTACGGTTGTGAGAACATGAATATATGAATATACCCACTCCCCAACCTTGAATTACTTGATGACTGTAAAAATATTTATAAATACTCAACAAGCACTTTCGATAGCGATTAGCGATACAGAAGTGATTAGATTTTCCGGTTGAAACTTCATAAAAACTCATTTCCGCCGTGTTGCGTCATTTGCGTGCACTCCGAGCATCGATGGGGATTACCTGGCAAATTAGTTTCCAAGAAAACTGATTTTGGGTTAATTCTTGTTCGTATAAATACAAAAGTAACAATTGGAAATTCTGGCCTCGTTGTTTGAGCAACCACGGAGTCAGTATTACGCCATAATCACCTTTTTCAAAATTGCGGAGTTTTTTTTTGTTAGAGGTGAATAAATCAGTATTCGTTAAGAAAATACCTCGCGTACTTTTGGCAATTTTTGACACCCTCGTTACCCCCTTGGACGATTGTGTGTGTTAATATTTACATGCATGTCTGTATACACATATATAAGAAGGAAATAAATTATCATAAATCACGTTCGGGCTTTGGGGGGCGCGAGGGACACAGGTCCCCTTGCTAAAATTCTATCTTATTAACTCTTGGCTATACAAGTCAAAAGCTATCTAGTTAAGTTGTCCAGAAAATCTTTACGCAACATTTTTTAGACTAAAGACGTTCTGTATTTAGTGCATCGTTTGCATAGAAAAGTTTAACCTAAATGACATATATCAAAGAGCCCCCCCCCCGCTTGCTAAAATTTTTGCAATGCACCATTTACCCAAAATTTAAGTGACGCTGAACCATATACCCCCTCCCACCATGAATTGAAGTAATAATTAACTCCCCTCCACAAATGCGCACGTAAGGTATAACCGTTGACATCAGATTCCCGTTTTCTTAATTGGCGAATTCGTTCGTGCGAGCGATTTTGTTTTAAAAACTCTACGGGGAAGAAACAAACTATTGCATCGACTAAATTTGAATGCAGGTTCTGTTATTTTTAGTGGATTCTGACAGACGTTGCATGTCTGACCTACTCATTGGTCTCTGTGCCCCTCTACGACACACTGGGTTCAGATGCCTGCACCTTCATCATAAATCATTGTAAGTCATTTTGAGGTGTTGTGATACTTTGTGTAACTTCCATAGAAATAATAGACGTGTCTATTATTTCCAGGGGCGTAACTAGAACGATAATTGGGGGGGGGGGGTGAATATTCATATATTCAGTTCTGCAAAAGAAATCCGTAGGGCAGAACTGGATATATGAATATTCACCCCCCATTTATCGTTCTAGTTACGCCACTGATTATTTCTATGGTAACTTCTGGTCGATACAACCAAGCAAACAGATTAGTCTTGCGGTCGTGACGTACTGTTGGAGACGAATAGAGCTTGCCCATTGTATGATAAGCCAAAGAAAGTGCCAACGGATCGTTCAGTCAAAATCAAGTGTAGATTTCATTTTTGTTATTCAACATGTAGCCGACATTTCACTGATCGTGTGTGATGAAAACAAAGTAGAAGTTTTGTTAGCGAAAGCTGAAGAGTGTCCGAAGTTGAAACACATCATTACAATTGGAGATGTTAAGGAAGAAGTCGAACAGAAGGCTGGGAAACGTGGAATTATGGTGAAATCGTTTAAAAATATCCTGGTATATAACTTGTATGAGTTTTTTACGCAACTAGCCCCAGAGAATCTTGTATAGTAGCTACATGTGTTTGTTTTCACGTCGTACGTGACTTGTAAGATTTTATATACATGCAGTCAGCTCTAAGGTTGTCTTTGTAATGAACTATCGACCTTGATTATTGCCTGAACTTTTTTCCAGGAGTTGGGACGAAGTAATCGTCAAGAAAAATCAGTAAGCCAACTTTTCTTATTAACTGCTAGTTTGTCCAGGGGCGTAACTAGAACGATAATGGGGGTTGGGGTTGGGGTTGAATATTCATATATTCAGTTCTGCCCGACGAATTTCTATATTGTAAGCTATTGCAATTACAAAAGAAATCCATATATGATTATTCACCCCCCCCCCCTCCCCCCGCGATAGATTGTTCTAGTTACGCCACTGCATGACACAGCTGTTTTTACTGGATACCGTTAATGTCTTCTGCATTTCTATTCCGCCGAAAAGAACAATCGACGTGGGAAAAGACTCGGGTGGGAAAAAAAGACTTTACGAATTTAATAATTTCGGGATGGTCACATTCAAGCTAAGATAAAATAAACAGTAAATTTTTCGTTATAAATATGTTTACGGTATTCTTTCCCTAATTCTAGCCCGGTAAACCTGATGATATTTTTACTGTTTGCTACACAAGTGGAACGACAGGTACGTATATACAGTTTCGGAATTTATCTCCTATTAAAGCGAATTTGCTAAAAGTGGGCCGTAGCAATTGTATTCGTGGAAGCTCAACCCCCCAATGCATGATTTCTCACGTATATGGCCGCGTTTGTACACGATACCGGCCTTATTTACCTGTCAGGATATCTATTCAAGTCTCTCATAAAACTGGTTTGTCTTTATTCAACCTCAGGTTTTGAACTAATTCGTCTGTTCAACCTTTTCAATCAACTGCTTTTCAGGTCAGCCAAAGGGGGCTATGATAACAAACAGGAATGTAGCGACTGTAATTGCCGCCAATCGCATACATTTTGAACGGGTATGACTTGAGTCACCGTGCTTATAAATATAATGATAATTAGATTAATTGAGACGGACTAAATAAATTTCATATTAGTTGGACTACCAAATAGGTAATCAAATAGAAGGAATGCGTGAATTGTCATCAAGTATTGGAGCTAGATTAATTCTTATCATGTCCTATAATCCTGGACAGAACTGTTAAAAAAATATCTGAAATCATAAAAATATTGTGCAAATTCTCATTTACCCCCTTACCCCCGAAACCAATATTGGATACCTTGTCGCTCTGACTTTGCTTAGTAAATACAACATTGGCAAAGGTGTGGGGGGACTGGGGGAGTATGTCACCCAAAACAAGTAAGTTAGTCTAAATGGAACCTGAATTTGCCTTAATTACAACAACCTTGTTAACAGGTTTAGTTTCCACGATTGTAGGATGTTTTACATTGCATCAAGTTTAATTATTTACGTCGTATAGGAAGGACAGTTAACAAAGTTCGATAAAATCGAACTTTCGGGATTAACGTTAATCAAGTTCTTAACTTATAGGACGGTATACATGAATGGATATAAAGTTTTAGCAAGTCTTAGTTCTAGTCTTCTAGCTGCGTCACAGAATACCTATCAGAAGAATAACTCTATACTATTTTTTTAAGTGTGATTCGTCATGATTCGTCACTTAGCAAGTGCATTTTTTTGAGGTAGTCACCCCCCTGCCAATATCTAAAATCAGCCTATTTTTAATATTGGCAGGGGGGTGACTACCTCAAAAAAATGCACTTGCTAAGTGACGAATCATGACGAATCACACTTACGAAAAAAATACAGGAGTTCTACTTCTGATAGGTATTCTGTGGCTGCGTGGTGATGTTTAATGAAATTTTAAGCTAGAGCCTGAAGATTCCTTTTTCTGCGTCAGTAGCTACTTATTTATGTTTCAGGGCAGCCAAAAAACCTGCCTGAAAGTGAGACAACATTATTTACATATATTATACCACTTCTGCGTTTTTGTGCAGTTATAAAAGTTTTTTTTTTAATTATATCCCTGACTGATGAGACAAGGTTTCAACTTTCGACCATATAGACATACGTCTCAAGACCGAATCAATTTGGAGGCCCATAGCCAAAGGACACATAAAGTTTATAATTAAGTCTCGTGTCGTGACTAATAAAGTGTAAACAAGTCTTAGGAGTGGATGAGTTTGATCTGGACCAAGTGCTAAATTCACTAAAAAAGCTTTGTCTGACATGTTTTTAGAATGGCCGCCCACTGGTTCCAAACGATCTTCACATCTCGTATTTACCTTTACCACACATTTACGAACGGATCGTACAGGTAGGTACATCAGGATGTCGTATAAACAATACCGGCAAAACCCGTTGTTTGAACATTTATCCTTGCTCAGTTGATATTTCGTAGCTCCGGTTCAAGAAGTGGATTTTCCCGCGGCGATATCCAATTACTATTTGAGGATTTACGGTTGTTACGGTAAAAATATTTTTCTTTTCATAAAACATTGGCATAAAAACGTTCTTAATCTACTGTAAATCGTATTGAAATCGGAAACATTCATCAACTGCAATTACACGTACTGTTTATATTTTTAAAATTAGTATATTATTTTTATTACAATTCGTGTTATTTTGAACTAAATTTAACCTCAATTTGGGGCTGAATTTCGTTCAGAACACAAAGTGGAGTTAAACCTAACACTTTAAAAATAACAGCCTGTTCGAACAAATAATACATTGTTTCAATACTAGGATTCAATATTCAAACAGTTTGAATAAAATATATGCCTTTAATATACTCAATACTCGAAGACCATATATAGTCAATGTATATGTTTTTCCGCCTTAAATTTTTTAAAATTTTTCCTGTTGCTAAACTAAGCCAAGATTGATTGTGTCTGTCTGTCTGTCTGTCTGAACTGTCTTGGAAATGGCTTAACAAGTCGTATGTTTCGTTTATTCTATGTAGACCTACGGTTTTTCCATCTGTTCCTCGTTTGTTAAATCGTCTCTATGATATGGTACGTTGAGTAAATTTGTAATTAAAATCGTAGGATATTTAAACCTGTTCTAACGGTCAATTATCATGTCATGGGTGCAGGCAATTAATACAGTACTGTCCAGAAATAACCTAAGGGGCCGATTACATGGACCGGGCTAGCCCGCTTTACCGGGCTGAAATTTGGCAAACGATTGTGTATGAGTAGTTTTTGCCGGGCTGAAATTTAGCAAACGCAGAAACCATTGTTGTTTATGAATTTGTGTCACACTGTGCATGTGTTGACAAATTCCTAGCCCCAAATTTCTAGCCCTAACTCCTAGCCCAATTCATGACAAATCATCCACATCCATATAACGTTGGAAACTAAACATTTTCCCAGTTGAAATTATTAAATAACTGTATTATAACTCATTAAGCTTAATTTAAAAAAGAATTCACTCCGTAAAAGCATTCATTTTCGGATTATAAGTGATCATGACTGGCATGAGTGTTTGTGCTTCAGGTAACTGCATCTATAGAGGCAAGTAGTGGAATAAAGAAAAGCTTATTCAATAAAGCATTTGCCTCAAAGTTAGCTGACCTTGAGAGGTAAGCAGTGGCCTTTATGATTCACTGTTATTAAAGGGTTAGGGTCTTAGAGACTGTTGTGACAGTTTTGTTTACTAAGTTTACAAAGTTTACAAAGTCTCTAACACTTTTAATATACAATCTGAGTTCATTGATTGCTGCATTGAAGATCCAAGCTTCGCTGCAGGCTGTAATTACTCGGGGCTACCGTAGGTAGACCGGGTTGTAAAATGGGCTCGATTTTTTCTTTTGCGTCTCGAGTTTACAAAAATCACGCGTGGGCGGCACGAAGTCTTCGAACCAATCGAAATCGTCCTAATCGAGATGGTTTCTCGCATGGGTGTCACGAACATACCATGTGCAAACTTACAAGCTCAAACGAGATAACTGTAGCCAGGGTGAACGCCTCAGCAGGCGTCTTGTTTTTGAATAAACTATGATTTTCATGAGTTATTGCGAATAAATTAAGATTCCTATGATCTGTCGCCAGGCAACAAGAAACCACGTGATTGATTTTGACCACTCGCGTGAGTAGAATTAGGCCAATGCACGAAGATTGTATATTAATCACCAATATTGAAATTTCTTGTTCATTGTATGGTCAGCGCGTGCGTTTATTTGTGAATAAAGCACGAACATGAAGTCTCTAAGCCTTAAGTATTAACTCATAAACGAAAAATTTAGGCTCGAAATATTTTATATACATATTCTATGAAAGATTATAGCTATATATTTTTATCTTTCAGAGGTAATTTTTATAGCAATAGCTTTTGGGATAAAGTTGTGTTCAGAAAAATCCAGGTACAAAAATTAAGTAGAAAAAAGTTGCAGTAAAAATATGTTACTTAATTCATATTTCAGGATTCTGCATGTTCGCGAGGTTACAAAATTAATGAAGTCACGGAGACCCGGTCGTTTGAAACTCCGAAGTGTGAAATTGCCCGCTTATATTTTAGGCAATTTTAGGTGGAAATGTCTCTGTCATTATTACTGGAGCAGCCCCGATCGAAGCAAAAGTTTTAAATTTTTTTAAAGTAGTTTTTGGATGTTGGGTAAGTGTTTGGTAAGTTTCAATTGATAATATTTCATGAACTCATTGCAAGTGGTGTAAAATTGACGCTATTGGACTTTTCTCTGTGTAATGGGGCTTTAATTATATTCTAGCTCCTACAGGGTGTCCCAAAAAAAACGAAAACTATTGAAATCACCCATAACCATGCAATTGTTAGAGTTTGAATGCCTAAGCACTCTGTTGGGACCCACAGGTGTATAAATGTTTACCATACTCATTTTTACGGATGCAGGCATATGATGCAGTAAAATTTGCTTGTTCGCAAAAATGATATTTATTAACAATATTTACAATTTACAAATATGGATAACATTATTTAGATGTGCATCTCAAGGACCATGACCTTCGACATGTCCCCTTTCTCTAGCAACACAAAGCATTTAGCATTTTATAAGTTGCATTAAATCCCCACGGACTGAAATTTGTTAGCACGGCATTCAAATTTTAACAATGAGTGATTTCAATAGTTTTCGTTTTTTTTGGGACACCCTGTAGAGTGAAAGTGATAATTAGTCTTTTGTGATGCTACTCAAATATCATATCTACCCCACTAATACAATTTCCTCTTTAAAGGTTATAGAGGGTTATGGTCTAACTGAAGGCGCTGGATCCGCGGCAATGACTAATATGATGGATAAATCCTCGGGTACTGTATAATAATGATTACACCACCTCTCAGTAGCGTAGCCAGCCTGTCGATTTGTCCCGCTATGCTAATATTTTGGTGTTTACTGACTGTGAAAAAAATATATTTCTAAAGATATGAATAATTACAATAAGTCGAAATTTACATAGCGGGACAGAATCGTCAGGCTGGCTACGCCACTGCCACCTCTTAGCTTTTTCTGCGTACTCTTTTATACAGTAGCGTAGCCAGCCTGTCGATTTGTCCCGCTATGCTAATATTTTAGTGTTCACTGACTGTGAAAACAATAGATTTCTAAAGGCACGAATAATTATAATAACTCGAAATTTACATAGCGGGACAAAATCGTCAGGCTGGCTACGCCACTGCTTATATACATGTTTACTTTGCGTAAAAATCGTCAGACAAGCACATGCAGGAGAAAAAATCCAGGTAGCTACATGCATCGCTCATATTTAAGATAATCGCCACAGTTTTTGGCTATTTTTATGAAATTTATTTAATTAGGTTTGATATTGCAGGCAGTAATCCTGCGGAAATATGCAATACAGACGTTTTTACTCTTGAAATAACTAGGTCACGTTGGACCGCCTGTAGCAACCAGTTATATCAAGCTGGTTGATATACCAGAAATGGAGTATTACACGTTCAAAAATCAAGGCGAAGTAAATATTCCTTATATATTTTATATATAGCTGGTGCACCGTAGTCACAGATATATCACCATTCATTTTAAAGGCTCAGGAAAGGGAGTGAATATTAAAAAGCTATACTTATGTTTGGGGTTACAAAAACACCTTTATCAATACGGTCAGGAGATATCAGCTATAGAAAGCTATTCTAAGAAAAGTTTCCAAAATTTAGGCGATTCCTAAATTATAGAGAACTGTACAGAAATGGATGCATGGTATAAGCAGGTGTCTGTACTTAGAAGGGTTTAATTTGGGTTGAAAATAATATCCTTAGAAAGTTACCCATATAGAATAGAGGTATTACAGAGGTGTTAGTATTAAAGAACGCTCCGTATTTGCTTGCCATGCCACAATATTTGAGAATTGAAAAATTCCGTGCAGGAATTTTTTCTAGTTTGTTACGTTACCCCATTTTTTATATTTTAGGTATGTATTTACGGTACGAATGTGTTTAAAGGGTACCTAAAAGAACCAAAGAAAACAGCTGAAGTCATCGATAAAGATGGATGGCTTCACAGCGGTGATGTTGGAGAGTGGAAGCCGGTGTGTTGGGTTATTATGGACTTATTTTACCCTTTTGAGATTTTGGCGTTAGAGTTAGGATGATGGACACATTAATTACGGGACCTTTTCATGTACTTGTTGAAATCATCACGATACTAATACCACACTGTTTTCATATAGAACGGCACTTTGAAGATTATTGGACGAAAAAAGTGTATCTTCAAATTATCACAGGTGGGTTGGCGCTTCATTTGCACGGATTAAAATGAGGGTGAAATGATCAAAATGATGCTGAGAAAAAAAAGATTAAACAATTTGTGTTCAAATATTATATTCGTGTTACAAGAACTATATGTTGGGATCGATCAGCTGGCCTTACAAATACAATCCTTGGAATATAACATTAAAAATAGATTGCTCAGATCTGTTATTATCGATTTATCTGTTCTATTTTGCAGCAGATATTGATCTCCTAAATGTTCATGTCTCAGAAACATGAACGGATATTGGTATTGGTCAGAAAAATGAATTTTCTATTATATCATTTATGTATTATAGACTTTTTTCTTTTAAAGCACTATCAATGTTGTTTTTGGGTATTACACATATATCGCAGGTTGTGCATGATCATCGGAAATACATATAGCTATACGTTAAATTGATTTTTAACCTAACATGAGGCTAACCTTATTTCGATCATGGAAGGAGGGGCCTATAATTATGAAGATAGTCACGATATGTTTTACTTCAGGTCCTAAAGTCATATAATGAGATTTTAATCGTCTTTTCTGTATCATTTAACTCAGGGTGAATATGTTGCTCCTGACAAAATTGAGAACGTTTACATCAAAAGCCCTTTCGTAGCTCAGGTGTTTGTTCATGGTTATAGTCTTAAGGTACGTTTTTTGTTGTATTTTGTACATCTCTTCATCGTATATACGCTGTATAATGATCGTAAACAAATAATTGCATGTCCAAGGCTATTGGGTTAATGATAAAATCACGTTCCTGCGGATTCTGAAAAACATATTGAAATAATTTAATCAATACCGCAGTCCTTCATTGTTGGCATTGTTGTACCCGACGAGGCTGCCATGATAAAGTGGGCCTCGGAAAATGGTTTATCGAAAACATTTCAGGAGTTATGTGAAGACGAGGTATGTACATGTCTAGTAACCAATATAGTATTGTCTGTGTAAATTTTTTGTTAGCGCGTTAAATATTTTAAATACGATGGATCACGTCAATTATTCCTTTTCTCTGCTACCTCCACCTTCTCTCTATTCTGCCATCCCAAAAGTAGTTAACAGTGTTGGATCTCTGAAAAATATTTATAAAACTTGTGAATAATCACTATGGTATTCACCTTTGTACATCTCCAGATTGAACTTCAACAAATTATATTATTTTATCAAACAGGATGTGAAAAACATGATTTTGGAAGATATCGTTGCCAGAGGAAAGGAAGCAAAGTTGGCATCATTTGAACAGGTTTGATATTTAACAACGAACCGCTAATGACCGCGTGCATTGCGTATTTTAATTACACTTTCATAAGGTTTTCAACAATTTTGTTAGATTATAAACGCTCTACGTAAGATGTTTTTTAGCAGTGACATACTTAAGATAGCCAATATACCATTGTTGATACATCTAGCGAAACAATGTGTTTCACGTCTGCCGTATAAAACGATGTTCAAGACTGCGATGAGTTTATATGCAAGTACGGCCGCCAGTTGGTTATTTAGGACAACATGCATACTTTGTTCGCGAAGCAGGTTGGGTACGTCCAAGCTGGAGAAAACCCTTTAATTTTTACTGTTTCTATTGCAGGTCAAAAATATCCTCTTGCATTCAGAATTATTCAGCGTGGAGAACGGCTTACTCACCCCAACTTTAAAATCGAAACGTTTCACGTTGCAGAAGAGATTCGCCGACGAAATTGAGAAATTGTACAAGAACCAAGAACAAACAGCGCGTTCTAAACTTTAGTTAAAAACTAGCTACCAACAAATGAAGTGCAGCTACATGCTGTACAAGCCGGCGACAGTAGTCGGCGCGCAGTGTATTGTATGTCATACATATAGCTAGTATATAAATAGTGCTATCTGCTATCCCCCCTATTACTATTTATTTGTTATAGATATTGTTTTACAGATTGAAGCTGAAGCCTGCTTATTAAAATAAATATTCATGAATCTGTCAATCTGGGAATGAGAGCCTTTAATCCTTTCAGTAAAAGAAAGTATAAACGATTTTTTATTGTCGCGTATTAATAGATCAGTTGTCTCGTCCAGTTGAGTATACGTATATTAATAACTATTGACAGATGTGCGGTATTTTTTTCTAAAACCCTAATATGGCTTTCAAGTTGGGTTAATTTCCATGCATATCCACAATCAATCCCAAGTTATTCCCAAAACTATATTTTGTCATAAAAACACTAGTTCATATTCAATTAAAGGAAAACGTACCTAAATTAAATGTCGTTAGATATTCTAACAACACAAACGATATTCTAACAACGAAAAGGCAAACGGCGTTGTTTAAATACTTCGAATGTCTGTTTTTGTTCAAGTAAGTTTCAAGATGGTACTAGACCAACACCTCGGCTGTATGATACCATCGCGACGCCCACGCCTCGATTATACGACGGACGCCAGATGAGATGGGAATCTCTTCTACAAGTACAACCGTCATTGTGATAACCAGAGGGACATTTGGTGCATCCGCGGGCGAATGTCAATCCACACAAGTCGTACCATGGACATCCTCCGTTATTGGCGTTGATTATGCGAGCATCTCTGAAACATGTGAGGCCATCGTTGCGATAGCCGCTGGGACAGTTACCATAGCACATGTAAGTGTTGCCATGAGGCGTTGAGCTCGGGCATCTTCTGTAACATAAGCCAGCAATTTGTACAGGACGATCTTTAACACAGCCCCAACAAATCGTTCCAACACCTAGCGAAAAGGCCCAGTGTGAGAGGGTTCTGCATGGCTGGTAGCACAAACCTGCGTGCATCACTGAGTGACTGCTCGGACACGATCCAGCTAAAGTGCTTTCTGAATTGAATAAGAACACGAGAGAAAACAGAAAATGAAGATACTGCGAAGCCATCTTTTGATAGTCTATCTTGTGACGAGAGACAAGTTGCAGCAATACTGGTCAACACCACCTATCAGCCAGAGAACGAGATGGGCTTTTATAATGCAGGGAAACGTCAGCAAAATAGTAAACAGATTCAGTCAGACATAAAGACGGGGGTAAAATGGTAAACGATGATCGATATCCCAAGTGTATGAATAATTGGATTAGATTGATATGCACGCAGTAGGAGTCACAAAAATAATGTTGACCAGGGTTCAACTTAGAAAGAATGTGTTTTCTTAGTTTGTTTCCTAAACTTTTGACCACGAAATAGATATTTCAAGATGGAAACGTATATATATATAGCCTATGATGCAGTTTGACAGCAGAGAATGACTGGAAGCTGTTTGAAACAATATACATAATTATAATATGTAGGCGTAAAAAGTAATGAATAACATTTTGCTAACAGGTTTAATTAAACTTCATTAGGGACAAGTTTCTAGTAAACATGCAAGGTCATTCAATTTTGTTGTATGAGATCAGGTCGCGGAAACATTTGGAACGATTTTTGTTGCTATGTTTGTTAAATATAGAGAAACCAAATGGCAACCGTTCATCCTATAACTTATTTCATTTTTTTGAACGGTCCAATTGTCTCTGAAGTCTCTTGTGCTACAATTGCCCTGGTATTGTTTATTAATTATTTTTGATATTGTCTGGTATGCGTCCATGCAGAACGAAGACAAAAATTAGGTTAAGAGGCTCTTCACATGATCACGGTTACCCGAGATTCGACGAAGCGTAAAATGACTTCGAGGTCCGTGCTGTAGTCATCCTAACAATACTATGGGATTTTTTGTTTTTAAAGCCTGGTTTCCATTTAGTTTTAATTATCAAAAACAAGTCATTTTCACTGATGATATACGAGAAATAGTATGCATGTATAAATCGCCTATATTTCTGCATTCAAATAAGATATCGTTGACTGTGCACACATGCAGAAATATTCTGTCACAACTAGAGTAATAGAAACCCGGCACCAAAGACCTATTTTAATACCTCAGAACATCTTACGTTTCGGTAATAAAACAACAACGCATAAAAAACTAATATAATAGCGGGTTCCAAATAGATTACGGTATTGAATATACAATATATTATTATATTAATTTGAATTTTTTGCCGAAAATTTTTTACTCGTAATTACTTTCATATTACCATGCATGAGCGTGTGCATGCGTTCGAGCACGAGTCAGTATGAAGCTACAACGATTATTTGTTTTGACATGCGAACCTTATTCCAAGCAGGCACTGTATTATAAACCGTCCGACAGATTTGTCCCGCTGTGCTAATATTCTGAAGTTCATAAACTATCATAACAATAGATCGTTGTAACCTGTATAATTTTACATTCAATGTCTCAAAAACCTTTTTTTTCGCCTTGTCAAATCTCGGCTAAGCAGGATCATGTTAACAGGCCGCAAATCGTCAGGCTGGCTACGCCACAATTTAACCTTGAAAAGTGAAGAATCTAAAACTCGTTGTTTTACCAATACTGTGGCCGATTGTATCAAGCTCGTTTAGCTTAAACGGTGGTTAAGTTCAAAATAGAAAGCGAGTCTATCGTTTTATTCAGCAAGCAAACTAAATATTTTCAACCTGAAAACAAGGATAATGTTTACAACTACATATTCAGGGCATAATATTCAAGTTGACTCATTCAAGAGGGATGTAAGGGTGTTATTTCATTTTGACTTATCCGCCGTTTAATACAGACTTACATTATTATTATTATTATTATTATTATTAAAACTTTATTTCATGAGGGGTTCACATTGTTACCTTAAGGTATTCTTCCCAATGGCCCTCGAAAGGTAATATGAAAGTTTTCATCGCGAGAAACATTGGCAACGAATGATATGCTTGCATACAGTGCAGCTAAATTCATTAACATGGTCTACTTCATTGTTTAATTGAAGAAACATTATAAGCTAGCACGAGTGGGAGTATATAGCCTCGGCTGTCTCGCTAAATTGGTCTATATAGCATATAAATAACGAGACATCTTCAGGAAAAAAATATGGATTCGATTAGAGTTTTGAAGTTGCACGATTGCCCAACATGACGGAAAAGTAGCAGAAATTAATAATACGATATTATTTTTGAATGAGCATTACGATAGTCCTGGATATGACGCCTGTTAATGGTGAGGTAGATCTTAAAGGTAAATGGAAACAATTAGGAAAGTATCTGCACGAACAGATTATTTATATTTGAGATATTGAGGTACTTCAGTGAAATAAGTTATGCCAGGGGTGCATGGGATTGGTGTTGTTGCGACCTTTCTTCAAGTTTCTCATGTAACAGGTGCTTCCGATTAGATTTCTCATAACGACCACACAAACAACGGAGAGTAGGAAAATGATGTAGGCAGAAAGGATGCAAAAGTATTACCATTTCATTCAATAACTGCAAACCTGCAATAGAAAAACGTTGTTGCCTAAAACGAACTGTTTCGCGTATGTTATTTTTTCTACTTTTTTAAACCGGAACTGTTTTTACGAATAAGTCAAAATTAATTAAAGGTCATTCGCAACAATTTCACAAAGATATATTTCACATAATTTTAATTTGCGTGGAACGTAAGCATTTTAGATTATTAAACTGTAAAAGGAAGTTGTGTAGGAAAAGGGGAAACTCCTCAGTTAAACCAGCGACTAGCTTTGACAACATGGAAACACTTATGCACAAGAGACAAATCTCTTCGATGTAGCAGTAACATAGATTTGTTTGGCGAATACAATCAAAATCCAATTGGTTAGGATTACTGTCTGTTGTGTACAGACTACAGTAATCCAATAATAGAGAAAAACGAAACATATTAAACATTAGAAGTTTAAACGAGAGCTCATGCATGGCCAGCGCCACGACCAGCGCAATGATGGAAGGCTTGTCACAGTGAAAATCTCAGACTTAAAGCGTCATGCAATTTTCTTTGGCCTAATATATAAAAACCTCTATGAGTATATATACTAAAATTTTACAAGCCAAAAGCTCTGAGCCCGTAGTTTAACAATATTGAACAATGTTGTGCTGCTCATATTGTTCACACCTGTCAACAGCATTGAACAATATTGACTACAGACTAGTACTGTTGAAACAGAATTGAGTGTAACAATATTGAATATTGTTTATGATGATCGCGTACTGAGAACAATATGGGCAACACAATATTGTTTAATTCATTTCATATCAATATTGCAACCATCTGATCGTTTTTACTTTTAGACCTGTGCAAAGTTCCCAAATTTTCAACACCATTATGACTTCCCGGAGCTGCTACTGTTAGTCTGTTACTATTAAAACACCTATAGTGGTTTTTAAAACAGCAAGTTCATTTACAGCGAAAATATGGTGCGTGGTTGTATAGTATCAGGGCTGCGGAAGATCCTTAATTGGGGGCCTAATATTCATATAGCCTAGTCGTGTTAACAGTCCGTAAAAGCAATCAATTTCAAAAGAAACTAATAATGCAGAACACAAACATTTCCCAGGTCGTGTGTTTGTCTCATTTTGTCTGTCAGTAATTCCATGAAGTAAAGTCGCGTGATGAAACTTGAAACAGACGTACTATTAATATATCATCAGTAAACATTTTTAAATGATTTGGCCTAATAATAAAAAAATTGTCCAAGTTCTTAGTAAGGGAATATAGATCTTTCAAAAAATGAAAGCTATAACAAGAAGGTTGTTCACCAATAGATTATTTTGCATATTATTTATAATTTACCGACTGAAAAGTAGTTTGAAACAAGATATGCCTGGGTAGAATTATTAAGATTTTGACCTTGCTATGAGTTAAGGCATCCAGATGTTCCAATTAACGTCAACTTGCGATGTTTTTGTTTTTAATGTAACAACCACCAGAGAAACGGAGATTACCCTGGCTGTCAGAAAACAGGATCTGTTAACAATGCAAGAGATGATATGAGGGAGAGGTGTAAACACAAAAACAGTAGCTAATAACATTTCATTTAAAACTGATGTCACGTCGTAATATTAACAGACGCTCTGTTTATATTTTCAACTGATATTTTCTTTGATATGAAATACGACAAAATGTCCGCGAATCTTTCCTATATGAGCGATGTTCCCTATGGTTTTAATTGAATAGGAGTTATGGTCTGTGTCCAAAAGAATCCGAAACATGCGAAATTTAGGCAATTTTCAGAGAACC